GTATGTATGTGTGTATGCATGTCTTCGTGTATTTTCTCCTTTATGTAATTCATTTATCGATTGCTTCCCGGTTTGGTGTTCGGGTGTAGGGTTGAGGGTTTATGACATAAGCCGTAGCCCTAACCCTAAACCCCTTCCACCTAGCCGCTGCTGCTCTGATGTTGGATGCGTAGGCACAGTTAGTTTAGAGGCCTTAATAAATACCTAGGCCCCTACATTACGTGAATCATCGTTTTATAGCTTCCAGATGCACAGCGACACTGGCAACCATGAGCCTTAAATTCCGTGACCTAGACCCCCAACACGACCTCGCCCGAACCCTAAACCACATACTGTAAACGTTTAAATTTAAACCGTTAGGATTATATCTTAATGCTGTTCCTTTGAGCTCGTTATCAAAATCATAGTGCAATCCGCAACATCACCCGACAAAAACTAATCTAACGAGTCAGGCTCTCGGTATTAATCGCAGCCTATAGTCAAAGTCCTACACCCTAAACCCTAAACCCTAAACCCTAAACCTACGAGGACCCAGTGGATGGCAGATCCCTCGTTCACAATGACTTGACAGCGGTGCCTCTGCTGGTTTAGGGTTTAGGGTTTAGGGTTTAGGGTTTAGGGTCTAGGGTCTAGGGTTTAGGGTTTAGGGTTTAGGGTTTAAGTTCTACGCCGTACACATTTACACATTAACCCCAAACCCTAACCCTCAGACCCCTGACCAGAAAATCAGGCAATAATATGCCGTGGCATTCCGGATTTCATTTGTTCCAAACAATAACCCACAACTCTAATTATTTTCAGGGCCCTATAGATTGAACACCCCAATGTTTTTATATTTTGGAGGCCTTATAACATAAAGCTCCGCAACAATAGCAAGCGGGCCTAAACCCTGCACACTCTAGTGTTGCGATTGAAAAGCTTTTGAACTCTAGCTATAGTCTCCGTTGTACTTTCTTTTTGAAGTACCTTGTAGGGTCCTACATATAAACCTGGTTAAAGCAAAACGTGAACTACGATGGATGCTACAGTGGGCTCCGAGCCTGTAATCCTCAAACCCTAAACCCCTAAA